AAAAACCAGGGAAAAGATGAAACACTACACTGTATACCTGTTAAGCCAGCTTCCTCTTCAAGTGGAAAGAAATTCTTAAACTTGCCAAACTTTGTTTCCAGTGCTTGAGTGCCCTCTAGTGGCTGCTTTGCCACAACCAACTGCTCACAGCCGGAATTAAGAATGAAAAAGTGTGAGAAGTAACAGAATAGAAGATGGCATCATCAGGAGCACCCAGCACAATTTGAAGTTAGTCTGTGAACTTCTCATTATGCAAAGGAACTTAGTTCACAATATGCATAATTCAGAAGTTTCCCAGATAACACATGACACACTACTGCATTTTTTAATAAGTATAATTTTTCCCGTTTCATTTCAAATTAATAAAATATCAGCAAACACCCAGAAAAGAACAGTACGTGAATGAAGGACACCAGAACCTCAGGAATTAACACCCATCCCTCCCCTGTCAGTGGAGGCAGCATCGAGAATGCAATTGTTTAATAAGGAACAGCAACAGGAGTTGGGCAGTATTTTGAGAACACGAGGTACCCAGTCTCTGAAGGGAGGGAAGCATGGGCTAATGAACAACCTGAGTGCACACAGAGACAAGGACACTTCCAGAACTGCCCCACCAGACACTCTCGGCGGTGGCAGCAACAGCAATTGCCAGGGGGACAAGCCATGGGCAGGGAGCCAGGGGGGGAGCTGACACATCACTCGGGGTGACTGACAGGTCCCCAGTTACTGCAGAGGCCTTCTGCCCAGACCCACGGGAATTCCTACAACAGCACAATATACTATCTGCAGTCACTGCCAAATGGAGCCCCAAGCACAAGGACACCACGGGGGTGCGGGCAACCTCTCAGTTCCAGCCTTGGCCTCCAGCCCGTCTTCCCAGATTCTGCCACAAGGCACCCCTCACCTCCATACCTTCCATGACTTCTACCTACATCCACCTCTCCTTCATGATGTCCAGCATCAAGAGGGAGCTGGCCCTCTGAACAAGAACCTTCATAGCCCCTGGACATTTCTGAATCTACAGATCAATCTTTCCCCAGGAAATGTCCCTACTGATGTCTAGGACAACTGCCCATGACCAGGACACTCATTCAGGCTTGCTGCTCAAAGCTGGGGTTCATTATTCACAATGCTATTTAGCATCCCATTGTGTGAATGTGACATACTTTGTCCATTCTGTTAAGTACACCAGTTATTTCACACTTAGGGCTGTTACAAATAATGCTGGTAATATACATTATTGCACATGTCACTTGGTACACTGGGTTACAAGGTAGGGGATTCTGGCTTAGACAGTAAAGATGTCCTCAGCCCAGAGTGGCTGTGGCCAGTTACATTCCCACCAGCAGCATACAAGCCTTCCTTCTGCTCAGTACTTTCACCAACATTTAGGATTGTGAGGCTTTTTCATTTTTGCCAATCTGGTGACTCTCTCGGTATTTCATTTTGGTTTTGATTTGTATTTCTCTGATGCCTCAGTACTCATACTGAATTTTAGAATTTATATTGGCCAGACCTAGTTATTAAAGTCTGCCTTCAAATAGCACAGCAATCCACCAATCTGTCAACACTTTGAAATCTATCCAGAGAGAAAGCATATATACAGAATAAAATCATTTTTTACTGCATCTACCACTACGAACCTGGTCCAAGTCACCATCACCCCTCACCTGAACTATCACAGGCTCTTCTTAAAGTGGTCTCTCTGATTCTATCTTGCCCCTGTCCTTGTAACACAGTGATCCTGCTCAAACGTAAGCCACATCGAGGCTCTCCTCTGCTCAAATTCCTCCAATCACTTCCCATCTCATTCAGAATAAAGTCTCAATTCTGACCAGGGCTTACAACAAGGCTTGGGATGACCTAGCCCCTGGCTACCTCACTAACTTCATCTCCTGTGTCCTCCTCCTGAGTCTCCCTCCCGCTCAGTTCCAGCTACATAACCTCCGTGTTGTTCCTTGAAACATGCCAACCGCTCTTCCATCGCCAATCCTTTGCACCTGCCGTTCACCCTTCCCCCAACTAAGGGAAGTGTTCCCCCAATCCCTTCAGGTCTGCTTGGATGTTCCTTTCCAAGGCTTTCCCTGACCAACCCATCTAAAATGGCGCCGCCACCACCTCATCCTTCCCAAACACCACTAGCCTACTTTTATCTTTTTCATTGCATCTATCACCACCTAACACTACATATCTGCTCGCTCTCTTTCCTCTCACTAGAACATGGACTCCATCAGAACAGGGATTTTTCTCTCTCTTGCTCAACATTGTACCTTGGTACTTAGACAGTACCTTGTATATACAGAGCCACTGATAAATACTTGTTAAAAAAGGAACAAAAGAGTATCAGTACAATTTAATAAAACAGTATCTATGAATTTCTTCTAGAACAAGATAAGGACCTGCCTGGAGTAATGGTTTTCCTGCACGTAACACACTGCCATGCCCATAAGAGATACTCAATAAATGTTCAATTAGTAAAAGAACAACAACGATTTGTCTTGTCCTTTCCTATTCCCTTCCCTCCCCCTTCCAGATCTTCTAAACCAATGTAGAATTTACTTCCATGCTACCATTAATTTTTTCACAGTATATACGTTTTTCAAGAATCCATTTTTTCCAGGTTACACATCACATTGATAGGTATTATTTGGATTTAAATGTTAATGGATTCATTGTTTATGTGTGCTTCTTCTTTACCTGAAAATTTGGTTATAGGCAGCTATTCAAGTAGCTTGGTCAGGTGCAAGTTTTTGGAAATGTTGGTGAAATTAAGACTGAGTCTCTGAATTTCTGAAAAAGTCTTCCTTTTGTCCTCACAAGCAGGCAATAGGATGGCTGCACAGAGAAATTTAAGGTCACACAATCCCTTAAGTGTTGTTCTATTCCTATTGTTTTCCATATCTTCAGCTTGTAGTGTTGCAAATAAATTATATGCAAGTCTAATTCGCTTTTGTTTGTTTATAACCTGAGTTTTGGTTTTCTTTTTCTCTTTGTAATTACAAATTTCACCAGGATAGGTCTAAATGTGCTTCTTTTTTCAATATCTTGCCTGACATTTGGTGAAACCTTTCATCTAAAGATTGAGTCTTTCTTCAGCTCAGGGTGAAATTTTCTTCTATTATTTCTTTCATGAATGTTTGCTTTGATCTCTCCTTGAAATCCCATTATGTTTATCTTAGACAAGTACAATCTGATAGAAATACAATTCAAGCCACAAATGTAATTTAAAATTTTCCAGGAGCCATAGCAAAAAATAAAAAGAAGTGAAATTATAATAATGTATTTATCCAAATATATCCAAAATATTATCATTTGAAAATGTAATCTATAAAAAATTTACAGGTGAGATGCTTCCCCCCCCCCACCCCCCTATTGAGTCTTCAAAATCTGGTATGTGTTCTCTACTTGAAGCTCATCTCGATTCAGACTACCTGCTTTTCAAAGGCCCAATAGTCATTTGGGGCTAGTGTCTGCCATACTGGACAGCAGAACAGATCTTCTGGAACTCTCTTCCATTCTTTTTTAGTTAATAATTTTTAACCTTTCTCTTTTCCTTCTGAATCCTAAAAGAATTCATCCAGCTGATCTTCAAATCCACTAACTCAGCTTCCTAAAGTATTCACCCTACTGATCATGGCACCTATTGAACATTTTAATTCAATAGTCATATTTTACATCTTCAAGGGCTCACTCTTCATGGCACACTGCTCCTGAGCACTGACTGCCTGTTCTGATTATCTAGGAACGCCCTCTAGAATGTCAGGACTTTGTCTTAGAATTTTCTTTCACTTCTCTTCCATCTCCTACAGTACCACTCTGTTTCACTGGAAACTCTTCCTCTGAGTCATCGGAAGAAGCCCCCCCACTTTTGAGCTAAAAGCCTCTCTGCTTAGTGATACCACCCTATCTGCTTGGTCTTAAAAAGAAAAATCAAGTTTATACATCTCTGATAGCCAAGTTGGGTACCATCAGGGGTTGCATAGGTCACAATTCATTCTTCTTAGTCCCATAAAAACAAGAAAAAAGTTAGACTTAGTGACATTTCCTGTAGATCTCCGCAGAGATCTCACAGTTTCCAGAAATAGGGACGGAATTAAAAGCAAAGGAAAGGCAGGGACCTTAAATCAACTGTCCGTTTATGTCCACTCAGACCAGGGCTAACTGGGATGCTATCCCAGCAACTGGCTGAGGTACTGGACAGCAAAGTTACAGAACATTTTCCATCACTACAGAAAGTTCTATTGGACAATACTTGGCTAAACAATTCCTCCTAAGCCCCAAATACACCACCAGGTTCTGGCTCTATAAAAATTCCCTCTTCTTCCCACTTCCTTCTCCTCACTTTCTCCTTCAAGAGTTATTGCCCTTGCCCTTAAAAGCCTTGGTTCTTTTCACCTATTTCGACTCTTGACACTCCCCTAGTCCAAGGGATAAAGGATGCTCAAAAAGGCAGTACAATGGTAGCATTCACTTGATGGGACTTAGATTTACTAATTAACAAAGAAACGCTTCCCAGTATCAGTACTTGAAATAAATGCCTGATATTTCAAAATATCTTTCAAGCATGCATGGCCATTAATACTGGGATTGTTGTCAGAAATAACTGACAACTGGTGAGGATGAAAACACTAAATTCAGGGTGAAAAGGATTTTAATCAGAATCGTGAGCTGTGCTTCAACTAGGAAATATATTAGGTTTAATAAAATGTTGGGTAGACTACAAGAAAACTAGTAATGAAATAAGGGTTATCCAAAAATTCTTGAAATAATGATGAATAGAGCCCACAAGCCTTTTAACTCCACCATATCACCTTTAATAACAGAATAGGTTGTAAATGTGCGGCTGTGTTTACGCCTAAGGGTCTACTGAGGTTATTTTATAATTGCCACAATTGCACAAAGAAAACTTAAGTGAAGGTCAATGAAAGCTGCGTGTTCTAAATTACAAATCAGGAACAACCTTTGTCATTCATAACATTCCAGTCATAAAAGAGAATTACCTCAGTAACAGGTGTATTTTCCTGGAGCTCAGTTGTGTGCGAGGCCAGTAAACCAATCACCCGAGCAACCTTGGCCCGTCTGTAAATGGAGAAAAATAAGCTCTGAAGAGGAGTTAGAGACCCAAGTAACCAACCCTAGTTATGTTTCACAATTATGAGCATTAAGATAAAAATGGGGTGCACTAGGGTGAGCATTCACTCCTCCACGTATATAGCCCTTGTGTACATTGAAGAGACAAGAACAGCAATGCCCTCTGTAGGCCGTCTGTAATAGTGACTCAAATTGAACAAGTTGGGCTTTCATAATAAAATACAAAGTAAAATTTTTGAAAGGCCTTAACCAGAGAGGAGAAAAAAATGTAATTAACCCTTTTACTTCTGAGTACAGCAGTATTTGGCAAAGGTTATGTCCTACTTATTAGTAGACCAAAGATTTTATACATAAGTGGTAAAAAAAAAAAAAAAAAAATCAGAACAGTTAAACATATTTATATATCCACTTTTATAGAAATTTTTACAATCCTAGATCTTACAAATACGGTTCCAAAAACTACTAGTTTTAGTGAGGTGTCTCTGTATCATTATCCAACAGAAAATAAGGTCAAGAAATTATTAATATCATTTTCAGATGATTTGTTAAAGTCTAGTTGTTTTTTTTTTAACTGGAGAAAATAGTTGGACATGTGAGTTGATGACAACCGTATTTTTTTTTTTTTGAGCACTGTATTCATATTGATGCTTGCATGTTCTCTGGGCTAATTAGTGTGTATACCAGCCAGAGAGTCTCTAACTTTTCAGGTTATAAAATAAACTACACAGGACCCACGGAGGGAAGCAACTCTGAGAAGGACCACAGGGAAGTGTTAATGTTGTCAGAACTCTAACATATAGATATAATTCTTACAGATTTCAACACTTCTTGAATTAGCCATTCAAATCTCTTAATATATACAAATTAAAGAAGTCCTAGGCATTTGTATGACTAGGATCCTGCCTCTAAATAAAAAACATTATACTGTTATTTAAATTTTAATACCAGTGTATTATAATATGTATGTAATATGCAGTGTTATATAAGTTTCAGGTGTACAATATAGTGATTCAACACTTCCATACAACACCCAGTGCTCATCACAAGTACACTCCTTCATCCCCATCACCTATTTCACCCATCCCCCCCACCCACCTCCTCTCTGGTAACCAGCAGTTTGTTCTCTATAGTTAAGAGTCTGTTTTTTTATTTGTTTCTTAGATTCCATATATGAGTGAAATCATATGGTTTTTGTCTTTCTCTGGCTGACTTATTTTGCTTAACATTATACTCTAGCTCCATCCATATTGTCACAAATGGCAAGATTCCATTCTTCCTTATGGCTGAATCGTATTGCATTATGTCTTCTTTATCCATTCACCTATCAATGGACACTTGGGCTGCTTCCACAGTTTGACTACTGTAAATAATTCTGCAAAATACACACAGGTGCATGTATCCCTTTAAATTAGTGTTTTTGTATTCTCTGGTAAGTAGTAGTGTAATTACTGGATCTCAGGGTAGTTCTATTTTTAATATTTTGAGGAACCTCCATACTGTTTTCCACAGTGACTGCACCAGTTTGCATTCCCACCAACAGTGCAGGAGGGTTCCCCCTTTCTCTACATCCTCACCAGCAATTGTTTGTTGATTTTAGACATTCTGACAGGTGTGAGGTGGTATCTCCTTAGTTCTGATTTGCATTTCCCTGATCATCAGTGATGCTGAACATCTTTTCATGTGTCTGTTGGTCATCCCAATGTCTTCTTTGGAGAAATGGCTGTCTGTGTCTTCTGCCATTTATTTGGATTATTTGTTTTCTGGGTGTTGAGTTATATAAATTTTATCGATACATCCTTTGCAAATATCTTCTCCTATTCTGTGGTTGCCTTTTAGTTTTGTTTCCTTCACTGTGCAGAAGTTTTATTTTGATGTAATCCCCATAGTTTATTTTTTATTTCCCTTGCCTCAGGTGACATATCTAGAAAAATGTTGCTATGGCTGATGTCAGAAACATCACTGCCTGTGCTCACTTCTAGGATTGTGATGGTTTCAGGTCTCACATTTAAGCCCTTAATCCATTTTGAGTTTATTTTTGTATTTGGTGTAAGAAAGTGGTCCAGTTTCATTGTTTGGCATGTAGCTGCCCAGTTTTCCCAACACCATGTGTTGAAGAGACTGTCATAAAAAGATTATACTTTAAAAGTGATCATTTTGAAAAAGATTTGGTAGGACATTGGACCAAAAGTTACAAGAAAAAGCACCTAGTCACTGCTCTGCCACTGACCCATTTTGTGACCACAGCCAAGTCAATTACGCTTCAATTTCCACATGTGTGCAATTTCCAGGGATAGATGGATTAACTTCTAAATTCTTTTACAATGAGAACTGTGTGTCATATGCAGCTAATGAATCACTGAATACATGAAAAACTAATGATATACTACATACTGGCTAAGTGAACATAAAAAAATAAAAATATAACATTATCAAAAACTGACTACTGAATTAGGGGATGCAAAGCAAAAACTTATCTTGGTTCAAGGACAAGCCCAAAGTACTTACGAAACACTAACCTGTTTTTTCAATCTACAAAAGTAAATAACTAAAAGAACTAAAAGAAAAATGTATTACAACATGCTATTTTCCCCAATCTCGCCAGAAACGATCCTATCAGAACAAGAGATAACACACTATCTTAAAATTCTTAGTTTTAAGTTATAAACTATTTAAAGTAACAAAAACATTTTTGTTTATACCAAATACTTACATACAACTATATCCTATATACGATGCCCTCAAAAAATGGACTTCTTCTCATAACCCAATTTCTTCTTAAATGTCACCACTTTGGATGCCCCTAGTGTCCCGTTACACTGTATCTCAGAAGTGTCCCCATATTCATGACATTATCCAAAATTGCACTGGCAAATAATCTTCATGCAAGGACAGATATGTTCCATATCTTCATTGTTCAAAAGAGTATCCATTGGTTACATGTGACTATTGAGCGCTTAAAATACAGCTGGTACAAGTGAAGAAAAAATTTTTTGTGGAATTACTTTTAAATTTAAATTTTAATAACCACATACGGCTAGCGGCTACCACATTAGAGTAGATCTAAAATGTAGTTCCTTCTTCATGTATTTACTTGTTTATTATCTGTGTCCCCCACCAGCCTAGAAGGCCCATGAATGCAAGGCTTGGTACTGCTCACCAATACCAACACCAAGACAGTCCCTCGCATCAAGTAGGCCCTCAATAAATGTTTGTTGAATGAATAGAACACCCACATCAAATATAAGGTAACTAAACATATTAATAGGAAAGGAGTGAACATATGACTACACGAGGTAAACAAAAGTGGAAAAGGGTTTCCAATATAAATCTCAAAAAAAAATTTAAGGCTAACATCACTAAATGAGAAAAAGATTCCTTGTAAACTAAAAGCAATATAACCTACAACGGGTATTGTTATACACCACGTAACAAAGAACACTCAAGAGTAATAGGAAACTTCAACCTTCTCTTCCAAGCACAGCAAGGAGGCTACAGTGAATACGTGTACAAGCATTCATAATAAAACTAGCAAGGTCAAAGTAACAGATGTATATACCAAACTTACTACAATCTACAAACAGTGACCACACTTACTCAGTGAAAGGCAGGATAGGGCAGTATTTATTACTCTGGAATGAAATGTCCTGGGCCCAGCCTTGTCCCCACCACAAAGTGGGGGAAGTGGGGGTGGGGGAGAGGGGGACAGTTCCTTGGGTTACTCAGCCTTCATGTGCGTGGTTACTTTTATGTTAAATAGGACTGACTACAATATGTACCTCAAGTTGTTCAAAGAACCAAAAGAGATAATCCACGTGAAGAAATTACCATGTTGTCCGACATTTAATATGTGCTGTATGGGTTAGCTACTATTACCAAATCACTTACTACATTAATAACATTTCTAAAAAATGATTTCGTATTGGGCGCCTGGATGGCTCAGTCGGTTAAGCATCTGCCTTCAGCTCAGGTCATGATCCCAGGGTCCTGGGATCGAGTTCCACATCGGGCTCCCTGCTCTGCGGGGAGACTGCTTCTCCCTCTCCTCCCCACTTGTGCTCTATCTCTGTCTCTCTCTCTCTCTCTCTCTCAAATAAATAAAATCTAAAAAAAAAAAAAAAAAGATTTCGTATTAGACCACAAAAGTAAATGCACAGAATCCTCAAAGGCAGAAATTCTATAGAACATATTATAAAAGTGAAATAGCAAATATAAAGCAAAAAAAAAAAAAAAAACCTAAACATTTGTAAATTCAGAGGCACTTTTGTGTATCTTATGTGTCAAATGAAAACTGAAGATGTCCATCAGGCACAATCATAATCAACACAAAAGCACAAGTTGAAACTTAGACATTTTTCTGCTTTACATTGAAGACTGGACACTGACACCCACCTTTCCGTTCTGTCAAGAGTCTGCTAAAAGAAAACATAATTTATAATTGATAACTGGAAACAGAAAGAAGGGCTGAAAGTAGACCAAAATGTTTGAGGAAATCCCAGATGACAAGCATAGAGGAAATCATATTGACAGAAAATGAACAGAAGAAATCCCTAAGAACCACAGATAAAGACAGATCTTCCCAAGGAAACCCCCAGAGACTCAGAGTAAACTAAAGCAGAAGGCAAAGATGAGATGAGCCATTGGACGATCACCAGATTACAAAACCGCACAATGAACAAGTGGGCCAACAAGGTCCTGCTGCCTTCCCATCTCCCTCCTGGGTACACAAAATAAACCCTACAGTCCTGGCCTCCAGGATAAAAATGGAAAATTATTCCTATAGTAAGCAATCTACCCTAAGGTTGGATACAGATGTGGATGTGGGAACCAGAGACTGTGGTCCTCTACACCAGATACTAGAGTGGAAAAGAGGATTAATGGAGGAAAGCCAGCTCCATCCCAAAGAAAAACCCATCCTGGCAACTCTTGAGTAGGCCTCCAGCCTGCCTACCTGCTCTTTAGCCAGCTGGGCTCCCAACATGTAAGTCAAC